TTCACCTCAAGGCAAATTCCTTCCTTACTTTCCCATTTCCCGAAGGGAGACATCTTTCACAATAGTTACACTACAGTGATATTTGTTTCACTTCAACAAAAATTTATTGAGTGTGTATGTGGCAAGGCATATGGAAAGAATATGGGCTTGAGCATCATGCTGACTTGCTATGTAGCCAAAGAAATTTACGTATTTTTGCTAAATTCCAATGCCTTCATCTATTAAATGAAACAAATAATTCTTTTTACAAAATGAGCATAAAGCAGAAATACTATAAATGTGAAAAATGTCCTGTATACAACAGGCACTCAATAAATGCTAATTATTTTTGTTGGCATCTAAGTAGAATAATGAAAAGTAAGAATCATTTTTAAGAGTCTACAGAATTACAGACAAGTATAAGCATAATTATGACCCCATATAGTCTGTGACAAATGCCACAGAAGGGAATCAGAGCCTAAAATAAAGGGCCAAAGAGAGAGACTTGTGAATAATGGCCTTCATATTAGATTGAGATGGTGCTACAAACTGAAAATCAGCCTGGATCTGGCATTAAAGTCCTAGATTCTGCTAAATACTTTGAGTATTTCATCTGGTAGTGAAAAAGTGAATTAATATTCTCTCCTTACAAAGCTGAAAATCAACACATGACTGCAACATTAGCACTCAGAAGACAAAGACAGGAGGAACACTATAAGCTTTAGGCCATCCTGCTATACATGGTGAGTTCCAGGCCAGCCAGGACTACAAAGTCTGTCAGAAACAAACAAAACGTAACTAGAGGAGGCATGGTACCTTTTGTTATTTCAGCTTTCTGTACACACATTAGTGCTTTTAATGATGACTATTGCAAGTTAAACGATCTTAGACCATCTATGGGGTTGGGGTCTTAGGAAAGAGAACTCAGGGAATGGGTTGAGTGCTGAACACAAAATGGAAAAGTTGGTAGAGAGCAACTGAAGAAAAGCTCTGTGAAAAGAATGTATGCCACAGGTGAGCACATGATGTAAGTAGAAATAATCGTGAGTTGGAATCTTTGTGGAGACTTCGGACAGATGTATTTGCATTTTATTTGAGAACATGTTCAGCTCTTGAAGTTTTTCAAAATGGAAGCAAAAGCACTCACACTTCACTCATACATTTTAGAAGTGAATTCTCAGAGTGGCACAGGTATGCTCACTCCATAGCATTTATTGAAAAGGATAGATACCACACTTGCCATATTCAAAACTTACATTGTAATTTGAAACTTTCTAGGGCAGCCTGAATAGCAGCCTCAGAAGATGTTGACATCAGAATCCCCACATTGTGGGGCTATACTGTAGTCTCATGTCTGCGTGGGCCTAGTGTATTCAGACAAGTACGGGTAAGAAGGAAGTCTCAGTGATGATAACAGACACAGGAGATGTGCAGCTGAAGGCAGAGGGAGTGGAACTGGAACTGAGGACTGCAGAGAGGACAAGCTTGAGATAGCCAGGACAGCCTCCATGAGAAGCGAGACTCTGCCAGCCCTCCTGTTTTTAGGAATTCTGGCCTTTAGAACAGTAACAGAATCCATTTGTGCTGTAAGCCATTCAGTTGGTGGAACAATACTTAGCAGCAGTTGGAAACTAATATAAGACCTTTCCCTCCCTATTGATTTAACTCTTTTTTTTTTCCATTCTCTGTCTTCAACCCACGTAAATAAAGATACCTAAATTTTTCTCTTGGAACTTCTCTGGAGAATGATTACTATCCTCTAACCAAAACATCTTAAATCCTGTAAGTAAAGATTGCTTAGAAAATTTAAAATAGCAATTGTTCAAAATAATGAGATTAATTATGGATTTCTCTCCCCCCCCATGGTGTGTGTGTGTGTGTGTGTGTGTGTGTGTGTGTGTGTGTGTGTGTGATGTACTTTGATCATATTGGTCTTCAGATACTACCTAAAGTTAGACTGATGTTGAAAAGCACCCAGGATCGGTCTGCACAGTCTTTTGCCTACTTGATTTTGTATAGCTTGCACACTGGACTCACACTGTGGACTGTAAACTAGCATACTCTCAGTTTAGGACTGGAGAAGTTCCCCAGACAGGAAGTGAGATTCCAAACGCAGGGCTCTCCCATTTCTCCCAGCCTGCAGACACAGAGTGTCTGTAGGACTTTCATTGTTGCTGTTATTAAGTGCTCAATTTGGCCTTTCTTCAGCCTGGAGGGAAAAATAATCACTAACTTTTTTGGCACAGTTAAGCTACAAGAAACTGAGGGTAAAAAAAAAAAAAAAACACATTACAAACTAAGGCACTTTAAGAACTTAGCAGGATTCGGTGGCCAGCCTTTGTATTTCCGTCCCCTATGACTTCAGCTAGAAAACATTAGAACCAGGTCCTTCTACCGTGCATGCCTCCCAGGTGAGGGTTGTCTGAGCTTTAATCTACTGTTCAGTTCGCCCCAGGATTTTCAGGTGCTTCGAGAGGAGTGAAGTACAGAGTGTACCTCAGTTCTTGGTTGTCAGCCATTGGACAATGGCCACAGTATTATTAAACTATCAAGCATGCTGGGTCTGAACCACAAAATTTAATTTTCCTTACTGCAGGGACTAATTGACTTCCATAGACTGGAGGACCTAAAGAGACTGTTTTTATCTGCAAAAAGCCTCTCCCTTCAGACTTCAGTGAGCTAATTTTAGTTTTGTCTATCCTCTGGGTTGCAAATGTTGATAGAAATTCAACTTGATGCGAAACAGATAAGAGGTGGAACTTATATGAATACAGTCTGGGACATAAACTGAAGAAAGATGAAAGCTCCAGGGCCCTTGGTGACACCTTGGTAAATGTCTAAAGATTCCACTATAGGCAGCTCAGCTGTACTTGCTAACAGAATATATTTTTACAGATTGTAGCTACCAGAGAATGTGCCCAGTCCTTCTCAATGTCTTCATGATGATTTCCCTCACCTCCAATACATTCCCTTTCGATGTATCCATTTATTTCTGTGCTTTCTCAACTACTTCTTTTTTCCTGTCATAAATTAGGGTTCAGAATGAGTGGTACTAAAGGAAGGAAGGAAGGAAGAAAGGAAGGAAGGAAGGAAGGAAGGAAGGAAGGAAGGAAGGAAGGAAGGAAGGAAGGAAGGAAGGAAGAATCGCCATCTGCAATATTTCTATTGTGATAGGTCACCATAGTCTCAAATGTATTGGGGTCGTTGGTTTAATCCTGTTATGAACTAGCAAAGTCTTCTAAATGAATATCAAACCATCCATTAAACAATCAAAAATTTTAGTGAAAGAAAGAATATATATTTCCAAACCTTCTATTATCTAATTTATGTTTTAAATTTAATTTTAATTGATACATGAAAAAGTTAAAATAAGTGTATACATATGGAATACTTACCAAATTTTCATGTCAACTTTGCTCAAGAGCCAAACCGATCCTATTTTTCCACATTTAACATACATGTTACCACAGTGTTTATCTGACTGCTACCTTTAAACTTATTCAAAATAAGGCAGACTCTAAAAGTGAGAAAGAAAATGCTTGCATTCAACTGCCAAAAGTCAGCTAGCAGAGCAAGGGATTCCACATGGCATTGATTGTTCCCAAGCTGATGCAATCAGTGTGGAATAATAAGGTGGAATGGGCCGACTCTTGAGGTGGAAAAACTTTTGATTATGTGGATTACACGATCAGAAGCAGCAAATCCATGTGGCTAGGAGCCAAGCGACAATTGTCGGAAGGGTACTATATCTCTAGATACTCAAGGATGAGCTCATGGAGACATCAAAGGAAGGAGTTTCAACCAGGGCACAGGATTGATTTGATTGCTTTGGGACACAAATTATTTGGCATAACACCAGAGATTTGGGGTAAATTCCAAGTACTTAGATGGGTGACCCAAGACTTAGGGCTGCTTAATTTGCAGCTATCATTAAGGAAACAATTAAAATGTGAGTGAAGTGGGGAGCCAGCAGTGTGTACCAGGGACCTCCTGGGAGGTGTAGGGCTTGAGGGGCTGGCTAGAAGACTAAACACAAATTTTGATAATTTCTGTTCAAACGTACAATCAACAATCTGTACAACCAATTTCAAAATGAACTTCTCAAAGCAATCTGTGTTTTGCAATGTCCAACCTAAATGGGGGGAAAAAGCTAAAATCTTAATTAATGCCACTATGTTTTCTCCCAATGGAGTAAAAAGTTGATTCTGACTAAAGTTTGAAATGCCTGTTTAGCAGACCATCTTCCCAGATTTGAAAAATTCACAGAAAGAGTCTCCATATTTACCTGGAAGGTTTCATGGTGTTGAAATAGCATTAGGAGTACCTTAGTGCATTTGCATTTTAGTGGGAAAGACAGTAGAGCTGATTTTTTTTTTTTTGAGTAGGTCTCTGATTATTGCAGGTGAATCAAGTTATTGACATAGGCAGCAATATAACAGCCGATTCTGACCAATGGGAGTGAAAGGAGACTTGTGAAGACAAAGTCTTTTTTTTTATTTTTCTCTTGTTACTGTCAACTCCCTTGTTTGGGATGGGGCTCCCCAAAGCTGATGTGCACATTGGTAGCTGTCACAAGATCCCAGGAGGAAAACACAGCATCTCACTGAAGACTGAAGATCCTTGGAAGAGAGGGCCTTTATCAACATCATTAGGCTCAACACACAACCAGGACCTGTTTCTACTGGCTTTCTTGTTCTAGGAGTTAAGAAATATTTTTAAGTTCATTGCCATTCTCACACTGCAAATGTGAGGGGTCCCATGCTCATCCTGTGAGTAAGCAGACATGGCTTGTTCAGCCTTATAGCCAGGGTCAAGATGACCCTTAACCTTCCCTCATCCCCTCTTCTCTTGGTCTCATCTTTCCTATTTCCTACACTTAGATTACAAAATCAGAACAAAAAATGAAAACACAAAGGTGTTTTAAGTTTAAACAGCTTATTTGTATTTTGATGTACATATATCCCTAAGTAGTTTGTGATATCTTTAATGGCCTCTTTTTACATTTTTATTGTAGAGGCTCATCATGGAACTTTGACACCTCAAAAATATAAGAAAGCAGATTGAAAATCTAAAGAATTTCACTGATCACCCAAAGAATGTTTTCTGAAGTTTGATCCATAGTAGTCTTTCTTTTGTGAAATTTAACCTAAATTCCAGGTAAGGAGCTGTTGAGTTCAAAATAGTTTTCATATGAAAGACACATATTCTATCCTGACATTTGGAAATTTAGTATATAGGCAACATTCCTGGAAAGGCATGGGCATCAGAGTACCTCTCTATTCATATTTCTAAAATTGTGTGCTTTCTTCAATCTGGTCAGGTTTCAAGCCTGTGTTGAAGGAAATTGGGACATTTTGATTTTACTTATTAAAACAGATGTAATCTCAACTACCTTCCAAAGTGTGTGTGTGTGTAAAGAGATCATTGTGTCTTCCAGTTGTAGTAACTACTGTATTGAATTTAATTTGTACTCCATTTAACCATAAGCAGAACTCCACAGAGAATTTCTGGGGAAAGGAGGAATGAGGAGGAGGAAGAAAGGGTGGAGAAGAGGAGTACCCGGAGAAGCGACGCATTAAAAAAAACGGGTGTCTTACATTCAGTCTCATGGTGATGGAGGCTGTACTGTACACATGTTAAATTTATCAAGAGGAGGCAGATAGCTCCCATGACTAAGACTGAAAGCAATTTTGAAGGTTCTTTCAAAACGATGGCTGTTGGGCTTTTATAGGAGGTATTTGCTTTGAAGGGAAGCCTGGCAGAAGAAAGAAGGGCCTATCAATGGCAACAATTACAAGTATTCTAATTGCCTGGCAATAATTCGTGGTGCAAAATTGGCCAGTGCTTCCTGCGTTTGTGTCAGCGGTGTAGAGGCAGTCACGCTACATGGTTTCTTCGCACCTCGTGTACTGAGAACGCACTCAGGACAGCTGAGCCGACTTTCACTTCCACCTTGTCTCCCCTCCTTCCTCCACAATGTCTTCTGTTTCCGGTGCTAGGGAGGGACAGAGAAGAGGAAGAGCAGACATTTGAAAAAAAATTGCAAGAGTCAGTGACTGTTGCTCAATGTATTTTATTATTTCAAGAATTCATTCAAAGCCAGGCTACAATTTAACACAGGAGAATAATGGGCTACTGACATGTATATGGTTTTTAGAAATATAAGGCCTCATTTTCTCAGCTGGAGTTTCCCCTCCAATGTGCATTTGCATTACATTAGAGATGCTCTTTTGAAAAAGGAAGATCACATGCATTCAGACATTTTGACATTATCTGGGTCAGAGGGAACATTTAAAAGCAGTAGCCTCCGAAAGAACCAAAGCTTTCTTACAGGCAAGCATCACACTCATTAAGGAAGGAGGCCAGCCCCACGTGTCTCCCTGCATTGGCCATGGTTTATGACATACCTGCCTAACCCAGACATTAATCTACTGAAGATGGATTGGCCTGGTCATGGTCCTCTGCTAACCTTCAACGGCATGTACATTACCTAAATTGAAATCTGCACTTTTTCATGCCATGAATGGTTTGATGTGACGGTCCAAGGAATGTCGGCTGCATTAGAATTGGTTTTTATGTGGACAGAAGGGCCCTCCTATTTACCTTTCAGCAGAACAGCTGCAGGCTCTCCTCGTCACTTGACAATGGAGGCATTCATCCCCAGTGTTCACCCCAAAAGGAGCTGCCCATACTGGCTCAGAATTGCATGGCCTTCCTCAGGTATGTAAGTGTCTTCCTGCTTTCCTGTGCCCAGAAGTGACACAGACACAATGTAAAAGGAATGCAGAAGTTTTCACCTGTTTAATTGTCTAATAAAGCCCTGCACAAAGAGTTCTTTGTCATCTTCCAAGAAGAGGTCATCTATAAGTGTCAGTGATTAAATGGGGGCTTTATGAGCACAGAGAGACCCGTGTAATTGCTGTGATGCTGCGGGGACAATCTCATGAAGCTGTATAAGATGTCTATAATTTTCTAATCTTCTATGTCTTAGTTTCCCAGACATGACACGCTTTCCTTACCCTGCACTCACATATCTTTCCTGAATGATAGAGAGCAAGATTTATATTTGCCCCATGTAATTAGAGGACTAAGTTGTCCTAAGGAAGGGTAGATCTTTCTGAAACTCATTTCTGAATTTAGCTGTGTTTTCTGCAAAATAAAATTGAAAGGGTAAATGGACAATTTGGGGCTTAATAGGTGGACAATCAGATTGCAAACCCTACTCCTCTGTATGTATTAGAAATGTGTGACCTTTGAACTTTATTTTTATTCTGACTACTGATAAGGATATGAAGGCTAAATGGGATGCTGTAATCATTCACTCATTGAACAGGTACTTACAAAACACTTCAGGGTAACAAACAGTGGCCTCTAGCTGCTGGTATTTTTCTGGAGCCTAAAATGCTTAATCCAAGAAAGTATTTGGCACAATGTAAACACATCATGAATTTGCTATTATTATCACAATTCCTGCAATAAAAGTGTACAGAGTCACACTTGTATGCTTGCTTTTGTAGACATTCCATACTGTCATTCGGAAGAGCAACTGAAGAGTGATTTTAAACAATTGTATTGACACACTCCAGGAAAGCACAGAGAAGGACTTCCCCTGCAGTAAGTAACTTTGAACAGGTCTCCGCTCTGGCAAGGAGATGCACTGGCATTGGCACTTCCAAGATGTTTAGTAATAACTATGTGGAATCTGGAGAGAGAGCTTTTGATTCTTCCCAGCTATTAAAATCATTTTCATTATTTATAATGTTATGAATAACTTCAAAACAGTTATGATCTTATCCTGGGCATACATGATACATGCTCTTAGTGTTCTGGTCCATGAAGGACATATTAGAAGTTAGTGATTTAGAAATGCCGAGGTTGAGAGTCAAGCGACTGGAGTTTTAGTAGCATGAATCTGGTCATAAGAGAGTACACTTGTTAACTTGACTTTCCTAAAGTGACAATGGAATTTCCTGGTAGAGCAACTAAAGGGTGATTTTAAACAATGGTATTGACTCACTCCAGGAAAGCATAGAGCAAGACTTCCCCTGTAGTAACTTTGAACAAAACTCAGCTTTGGCAATGAGATGCACTGGTGTCCTCTGGATGTTTGTGGGTTCTCTATCAATGTCTGGTAGGAGTCAATGGAACTGAGTGGCAAATGGTTATGATATTAGTGAGAAGTCTGTCACAAGTAAGAGGCAAAGAACTAAAGAGAGGAGGGTTGATGTTGCCTGGTGGGAAAGCTGTTCACCTGCTGGGGTTACACTGGGCTTCGGCCCATTTGTTCCCACTTTCTGAAGCAATCAATTTCCTTGGTGAGTATTGACACACACCTACCAATTTAGAAAATCAGAGTGATAGTTTCCATTCCATGGAAATAGCTCCAAAGTAGGTGTGCAGAACTAGAGGCTCTTTGAATGATCCAAACTCTTCACAAGGAATTTCCCTAGCATTTGTCTCATTTGTGAAGATTAGCAAATAATATAAGACAGTGGGTAGAGTCCTCTCTTATTCACACCTTGATGGTCATGTGAAGAAGGGATCAGTGGGTAGAGTCCTCTCTTATTCACACCTTGATGGTCATGTGAAGAAGGGATCAGCTAAGAGTATAGAAAAATGCTGAGTACTGGCACAGAAAACATCCCACAAATGCTGAACATGACATGTCTCAGATTGAGAAAGATGGAAGTTAAATTTAGACCTCAGAGTTGATAAACCCAATAACTAAATAATTAAATGACATCTCTCCCCCTCTTTCTCTCTGAATTAAAAATCTCTGTCCTCTTTCCTCTGTTTCCCATGTGGCTGGATAATAGGCTTGTGCCAACACATCCTACTCATGAAATGTTTCTAGAAGTCCCGAGTACTGATTTAAAGAGCAATGAAAGCCAGCCCACATTAGACTGACTTTCCAGTTTAAATGTCATTCGTTGCTGCTCCTGCTCCTCTAACTCTATGAAGTCCTTCTGTTGGTTTTCCTCTACACTGGAAGTCTTTTAAGGTAAGATATCTAGAAGGACACCATGTTTTCTAAAGCATCTTTGCAGATGGGAAAACCTCACACAAATTGAAGGAATCAAGTTTCTGATGGAAACTGAAACAGAATTTTGGCCACCTAGTTATGTCCAGTTCTCTTACTGGCACCTGCAGAAAGTTTCATCCAACCACATCCATTGGCACAGGTTGTTTGCTCATACTCTGCTGTGCTGAGGGATCAGGGACAGAAGACAAAGAATAAGTAGCTTTCTAAGTCAGTAAAAGCACTCGACATTTCTCTTATTTACAAACTTCAGTGTATCATTAGAATACACCAAGTTATGCTTTAGTAATGTCCCCCCCCCAAATTCTAATAACTACATATTAAGGGAATTTTTAGTTTATACCATGATTCAGTTTGGCTTAGTCAGACTCTTAGTTGAAGATTCTTTGAAATTTTTTTATCAATCTTTCCAATAGGGGAAGAAGACAATAAGATGTATGAACACTAGCTTTTAAGTGTATCCATCTAATGGAGACACACACCATACACCCTCCTGATTCTTTGTTCAAGTAAGTTATATATCTAAACCTAATTTTGAGGGAAAAGAGAAGATGGTCTTCCATGTTCCAGAATTATCACATCCAATACAAGCAAAAGCTACAAGAGGAACCTTAAGAGTGTTGTTCATAAGTGAGGCACATTTGACCCTAGAAAACATTTGGTAATGTCTGGAGAAATATTTGTTTGTCAGAATGGAGGGACAGTGAAAATGGCATCTACTAGTTTGAAGCCAAAGACACTGTGAAACACCCCATAGCACACAGGACTACTGTCTTAGGGTTTGTATTTCTTTGAAGAGACACCATACCCATGGCAACTCTTATAAGGGAAAGCATTTAAATGGATGGCTTACAGTTTCAGAGGTTTAGTGCATTATCATCATGATAGGACACAGTGGTATGTAGGCAGACATGGTGCTGGAGAAGGAGCTGAGAGTTCTACATCTTGATCCACAAACAACAGGAAGTGAAGTGTGTAACTGTGCATAGTTTGAGCATAGGAGACCTCAAAGCCCACCCACACGGTGACACACTTCCTGCAACAAGGCCATACCTACTCCTACAAAGCCATGCCTCCAAATAGTGCCACTTCCTATTAGGGGCATTTTCTTTCAGATGACCACCATGAAGTGCCTGGCTCAGAATGCTAGCATTGTAGACATTAAAAAAGCATGAACAGCCGGGTGGTGGTGGTGCACGCCTTTAATCCCAGCACTCGGGAGGCAGAGGCAGGCGGATCTCTGTGAGTTCGAGGCCAGCCTGGGCTACCAAGTGAGTTCCAGGAAAGGTGCAAAGCTACACAGAGAAACCCTGTCTCGGGGGGGAAAAAAAAAGCATGAACAAGGATCCTGGATTTCTTACCCTTCATGTACAGAGGGAAACCTATGCCAAAATAAAAACTGGGAAGTGTTATGATCTGTAGTGATTTAAACTGTGTCATATTGGTGAACTAGTAGACTAGACCAATTGATTAATGAAACCCAACAGAAAGTTTGAGAACAATGATAATTGACAATAACAGGAATTATATTAGAATGTCTATCTGTATTTAGAGGAGGGAATAAAGCTGTTATAGTAAAACTAAGCCCAAACCCTCATATCATGGCTAAACTGGGTGACCCAATGGGGGAAATGGGTCCCAAGCACAGGCAAAAGAGTCACAGTCATCCCCCCCACACACACTGTTGGGAGTTTCACAAGAACACCAAACTACCTAACCATAAGTTATATGCAGAGGACCTAGCTCAGACCTATTCAGGGTCCGTGTTTGTTGCTTCAGTCTCTATGAGACCTTATGAGTTCTGCTTAGTTGATTCTGGGGACTGTGTTCTTGTAATGCCCTCTATCTTTCTGGTTCCTATAATCCTTCCTCCGCTTCTTCTGCAGAGTTCCCCTGGCTGTACCTGGTGGTTGACTGTGATTCTCTGCATTTGCTCCCATCAGTTGCTAGATAAAGCCTCTCTGATGACACTTGAGCTAGGAACCTAGGAACTGATCAATGAGTATAGCAGAATATCATTAGGAATCATTTTACTGACTTTTTTTTTTTTTTGCCAGTTGTGTTTGGTTCTATCCTGGGTCTCTGGGCTGTTCTAGCTCTGGTTCCTGGTCACCAAGGCAGTGTCAGGATTGGGATCCCTCTTATGGCATGGGACTCAAGTTGGACCAGTTATTACTTGGCCGCTTCCACAAGTTCTGTACCACCATTACCCCAGCACATATTGCAAGCAGGACAAATTGAAGGTCAAAGGATTAGTAGCTGGGTTGATGTCCCAGACCTACTACTAAGAGCTTTGCCTGGTTTTAGAAGATGAACAGTTAGGGCTCCATATTCCCCTACTTCTAGGGTAACTGTCATAAATCCCAAAGAGTTTCCACAGTACTAGGTTACTACTTTGCCCTCCAAATGCCCTCCCATTCCAATTGTCTCTCCCAGTACTTTCTCCCTCTGTCTCTCTCACCCCCTGCCTGATCCCTCCTGTTCCCATCCCTCCCCAACCATAGTCAACCCCCCAAAATATATTCTATTTCCCTTTCCCAGGGAGATCCATGCATACCCACCTTAAGCCCTGATTGTGACTTAACCTCTTTGGGTCTGTGGATTGCAGCATGACTATCCTTTACTTAACAGCTAATGTCTACTTATAAGTAAGTATATACCATATTTGTCTTTCTGAGTCTAGGCTACCTCACTCAGGATGATCTTTTCTAGTTCTATCCATTTGCCTGAAAATTTTATATCATTATTTTTAACAGCTGAGAAATACTCCATTGTATAAATGTTCCACATTTTCTTTATCCATTCTTTGTTTGAGTAACGTCTAGGCTATTTCCAGGTTTTGGCTGTTATAAATAAAGCTGCAATGAACATGATTGAACAACTGTCCTTGTGGTGGGATGGAGCGTCCTTTGAGTGTATGCTGAAGGGTGGTATAGCTAGGTCTTGAGGTAGATTGAAAGCCAATTTTCTGAGGAACCTCCACATTGATTTCCAATATGACTGTACAATTTACACTCCTATAAGCAATGGAGAAGTGATCCCTTTGCTCCACATCCTCACCAGCATGAGCTGTCACTTGTGTTTTTGATCTTAGCCATTCTGACATGTGTAAGATGGAACCTCAGAGTCATTTTGATTTGCATTTCCCTGATGGCTAAGGATGTTGAACATTTTTTTTTTTTTTGGTTTCTCTGACATTTGAGACTCCTCTATTGAGAATTCTCTGTTTAGATAAGTTCCTCATTTTTTAAATTGTATTATTTGGTTTGCTGATGTCTAGTTTCTTGAGTTCTTTATATATTTTTGATATTAGCACTCTGTCATATGTGGAGTTGGTAAAAATCTCTTCCCATGCTGTAGGCTGCCATTTTATCCTATTGACAGTATCCTTTGCCTTACAGAAGCTTTTCAGTTTCATGAATCGCATTTATTAATTGTTGTTCTGGTGCCTGTGCTATCAGTGTTCTGTTCAGGAAGTTGTCTTCTGTGTCAGTGTGTCCAAGGCTATTCTCCAATTTTCTTCTATCAGGTTCAGTGTAACTGGTTTTATGTTGAGGTCTTTGATCCACTTGGACTTGAGTTTTGTACAGGGTGGTAGATACAGATCTATTTGCATTATTCTATACATTGACATTCAGTTAGAACAGCACCATTTGTTAAAGATGCTTTATTATTATTATTATTAGTATTATCATTATTATTTTGTATTTCTGGGTTATTTCTCAAAAATCAGGTGTCCATTGGTGTGTGGATTTATGTCTGGGTCTTTAATTTGATTCCATTGACCAATTTGTCTGTTTTTATGCCAATACCTTGTGGTTTTTATTATGACAACTCTGCAGTATAGCTCTAAATCAGGGATAGTGATACCTCTGGAAGTTCTTTTAATGTACAGCATTGCCTTAGCTTTAGAGAGTTTTGGTTTTCCTTATTAAGTTGAGTATTGTTTTTTTCAAAGTCTGTAAAGAATTGTGTTGAAATTTTGATGGAGATTATGTTGAGTTTGTAGATTGCTTTTGGTAGGATGGTCATTTTTATTATATAAACCCTACCAATCCATAAGCATGAAAAGATCTTTCAAACTTCTGATGTCTTCTTCAATTTCTGTCTTCAAAGACTTGAGGTTCTTGTCATTCAGTTCTTGATTAGAGTTACCCTAAGATGTTTTATATTATTTGTGGCTATTGTGAGAGGTGATATTTCCTGATTTCTTTCTCAGTCAATTTGTCATTTGTGTATAAGAGGACTACTTTTTTTAAAAAATTTTTTAGTTAATCTTGTATACATCCACTTCACTAAAGGTGTTTATCAGCTGTAAGGGTTCCTTGGCAGAGTTTTTAGGGTCACTTGTTTATACTATCAGATAATCTCCAAATAACAAATATTTTTACTTCTTCCTTTCCAATTTATTTCCCCTTGATAGCCTTTAGCTGTCTTATTGCTCCAATGAGAACTTCAATTACTATATTGAATAGAGAAGGAGTGAGTGAACAGTCTTGTCTTGTTCCTGATTTTAGTGGAATTGCTTTGGGTTTCTCTCCACTTAATTTGATATTGTCTATAGGATTGCAGGAAATTGCTTTTATTATGTTGAAATATTTCCCTTTTATCCCTAATCTCTACAAGACTTCTATTATGAAGTAGTGTTGGATTTTGTCAAAGGCTTTTTCAGCATCTAATGAGATGATCTTTTTTTTTCCTCTCAGATTTGCTTATATGGTGGATTACACTGACTGATTTTCATATATTTAACCATCCCTGCATCTCTGGAATAAAGTTTACTTGATCATGGTGGATAATCTTGATGTATTCTTGGATTCAGTTTGTGAATATTTTATTGAATATTTTTGCATCAATATTCATGAAAGAAATTGGTCTGTAATTTTCCTTGTCAAGTCTCTATGAGGTTTGGGCAT